ACCAGGGATAAAACCCACAACTTGGGTATGTGCCCTGACTGAGAATCGAACCCATGGCCCTTCAGTGTATATGGGACAATGCTTCAACCAACTGAGCCACACCGGCCAGGGCTATAATGGTTTACTTTAAAATGTTGTTTTTAGTGAGATACTTTAGCAAAAAATAGCAATTCTCAAAAGCAATCCCCGATCCACAGGAACCCATGTAACTCACGGTGACTTTCCTTGTTTAACAAACACCGTGCTAGTTACCTCCTAAGGGGTATATAGACAATTTTGAAGGACTACTTTATAACTATAATTTTTATCATTAAAATTAATGGCTGAGTAACATATCAGACCAACTCACCTGCTTTCAATAACTGTAAACTCTAGACAAAATAATAAAGGTACCAGAGAACAACCAAAAGCAGGTAAAAACTAGAAGGGATATAAGACTCAAAAAAAGAAAAGCAAACTATGTAAAACCTACACTTATACAGCTTTCTCCCTGAAGGTATTCCGCTGCCATGCAGCAGAAGAGGAACAGGGTGCAAGCAGAAAAGGAAGTCTCACTGGCTGAGCAAAGGTGTCTGGCACTGTCCAAGCAGCTGCAATTTGAGGAGCCTGGAAAGACAGCACCACTGAGGGGTGGTCCCACAGTATGCACACAACTCCACTCAGATCTGCAAATGACTCCTGACTATGCATGAACACGATGATATTTAGGAACCCAGAGAAAGCAAGAGGAAGGCTGAAAGGTGGAGCATGGTTCTGGATAGTGGGAGGTGTGAATTCAAGTCCTACCAAGTAGAGGTGCTTGGGAAATGCCCTGGGTTTGGGAAACACTTCAAGTTTCCACTGAACCCCCTTAGGAGTTATACCTTGAGAGTAAAGCCCATATTCCAGGACTAAGACTTAAACTATCAGACTAAGGGCAAAACGGACCCACCAGAGCAAAGTCTAAAACCAAATCTTTCATAGGCTCAAAGTGACCTTCCAATAACGTAGCTGCCTGCTAGAACAAAACTCAGCATTAGTAGAAGATAAACTTTAAGATGCATCACTCACAATGTCCAGTAAATAATAAAAACTATTGTAGCTTGGCCGGTGTGGCTCAGTGGTTGAGCGTCAGCCCATGCACCAAGAGGTCGCCAGTTCGATTTCCGGTCAGGGCACATGCCCAGGTTGTGGGCCAAATCCCCAGTGGGGGGCATGCAGGAGGTGACCAATTGATGTGCTCTCTCATCGACATTTCTCTCTCTCTCAAACAATCAATCAATCATCCTGGCCGGTTTTCTCAGTGGTTAGAGCATCAGCCCACGGACCAAAGAGTCACGGGTTCAATTTCAGCCAAGGGCACGTACCTCGGTTGTGGTTCATCCCCGGCCCTGGTCGGGGACATGTGGGGGGCAACCAATCAATGTCTCTCTCATACTGATGTTTCTCTCCCCCCACCCCTTCCTTCCACTCTTTCTAAAGATAAATGGAAAAAGTATCCTCTGGTGAGGATTATAAAAAAAAAAAAATCAATCAATCAATCAATAATAAAAACAAAAATGACCACAAATATGAAGCAAAAGAAAATTGTACCCACAATCAAGAGAAAGAATTGTTGATAAAAACACACCCAAAGACAAGCCAGACATTAAGAATTGGCAGACAAGGACTTTAAATAATTATGATAAACATGTCATAAAAATGCACACTTTGGGAATTTTACAAATCATAACCTCACCCACTCCCAACATTCTCATAAACTTGAGTTGCCAATGATTATTAATCAAATTGGGATTTGGAACGGTTTACACCTGAATGTCTGAAACAAACAACCTGAAAGTGATTAATGACAGCTAAACTTAATTATATATTTACACCTCCCAGTAGGACAAGGCAGAGAATGAAATGTCTTATCTCTCTGTAGTGAGAGGGTTTTATTAAGATCTGACAACAACTATTTAGGAGCAGTAATTGAGATTTATGCAAGATTACACAGGCTCTCCTTGTCTGGCAACCCAATATAATCACAGAGTGATTGACTATTTAGGCTCCTAACAGTGAGGAAAAAAACAGCTGAGCTGTGTACAAACTAACCTTTACAAGTACTTAGCCTCATCTGTCAATGTGATCTTATCAAGGATTCCTATAATTTCTGTAAACAACCATTATATTTTAGCTGAATCGGGAGCATTACGCTCTTTAAACAGACACTAAGATACCTTCTACTTTAAAACGTTTTCCATTAATTTCCACTCTTCCACCAAAGGGATTCGGCTTTAACTTTCTTTTCTTAATCCACTAAGCAATCTCATAAATAAAAAGATAATCACATGTCCCGCATGTCTGATGTAATTCTTCCAAACCTTCTAAGTGTTCTAATATTCATTTACCATTCTATGAAAATAATATTTACTGAACAAGCTGGATTACCTACCTCCTTTCCCCAGGGAAAAAAGCAAAGTTGATTGAGCTACATTGAAAGGTCTGCTAAGTAGATGTTATTTCTATTTAAAATTTTGCTGAACATTCTATGGAGATTGGCACGGAATTGTAGGGATGACTGACGGCCTCTCTGATACCGTCCTTGCGGTTCCACTCATGTTGACATTGCCACTCTTGAAGATGCTAAATACTTTTACTGAGGTAGAAAAACACTCTTTTTTCCTGAGTTTTGTTGTTCATATTGGTCTCACGAAAGGATGGCCTCGCCCATTTATTTTTCTTACTCTGCCTCTCTCAGGAAGAGTTTCCCTCCAAGAGGGCTGGGGGTATCTGAGGGACCCAGACAGAACGACGTCCATAAGCAACCCATCCCGTCGACAATGAGTATCCAGGGACAGAATCCAGGCAGCTCCGTTTGTGTCATTCACAAAGTGGGTCCCGGTTCCATGGCAGTGCTTCCTCCCGAACCTGAGGGCAGCTTCGGCTCTCTCCCCTTGGCTGGAGAGTGACAGAGGCAGCCCACAGCCCTGTCTGCTCCCACCGGTGGGCCTCGGTGTCCTTCCTGGTAAGCGCTCAGAAACTGGTCTAGCAACCCTCTCTCCCTATGTCAGACCACAAGACGCAGGCTAACTCTTAGAACCTATCTGAATTTTCCCTATACACGTCCCCAAGGTGAATTATCTCCAAATAGTTTGGAAGTAAACTAAACTGCCTCTCTGATACTACCATCCCAGATACTATGTGAAGCAAACAACATCCTTATAGGAGAGGACCAGTTTATTTTTATTTAAGACAAATAGATTTTTTTAATGCAAATTATGATATCTACTAAGTACTTTTTGGTTTAAGAAGCACATTGCTAAGCACTAGCTACATGCTATGCATTATAACTGTACAAAGATACGTAAGACCAGGATTTCACAACCTAGTAGGAGATACAAATATATCAACAAATGATCATAATATAATGGGTTAACTATCACAAGAGAGCTGAATGATAGAATAAAGCACGTAACTAAGACACCAGATGTAAAAAGGGCTGAAACAAGATTTCAGTGGCCAATTCTAAGGTATTTAGTTCCTTCCCTTATTATCTCCAGTTGTGTTTCCATCCCTAAGAGGAGAATGCACCCCATGTTTTGAGGTGGGTTATTTTCAGCTAGGGAAACTAAGTAAACAGCACGTAATCAGTTACATAAAAGTTTTCATTTCCAATGTGATCTTTATTCCAATCCAAACAACCTATTATTAAGCCTCTCATCACAGCTTAAAATATTTCACTTCAGTGAAGAAAATTCTTTCTGACTTGGAAAAAATTGTTGTTTATGACATTAAGAAGCTAGATCCTCGTCAGAATCAACTTAACGGGAATAAATGTCATTATTATCTCTATGGTATTTGATTAAAGATCCAGAGAAGAAACAAAAATGTGTTGGATAAACTCCCTTAAAACGTCTATTAAACAGATACCTAAACCAAAGCTATATATATATATATATTTTACACACACACCATAAAAATGTTAAGGAACATAAATTTCTTATTATCAAATCTTATTTTCCATGACATAAATAGAATTAATACATGTTCCTATCAAAAATTTTCAATTGAGGTAGAAGGGAAAAAATGGTCATAGGAAACCTAGAAAAGCTATTTATGAGATTATCTTTCACAGGCTTCCACAAACAAAAATATGGCTAACTACATGGTTGGGAGAAAAAGAAAAGAAACCCTCTTGAGAACCAGCCTGTGCTCTCTAGTCCTACTCCTCACCCCTATTCTTTCAAGCCCATACAACGGCATTCACCCCAGCCCCTGCCCCTGCCCCGTCCCTACATGCAAGTGTGCATCTCCTCCGTCACAGCCTCTTTCAGAATTTTCACACGAGAACATAAGATAGTCATATGGCTATAATATTCATGTACATTAGGCAGAAGTAAAGTGTTAATATCCATTTAGTTTGATTTAAAAATAAGATCACAGCTAACATGTTTAGGAATGATTCTACGGGTTTGCCTTAAACTACAAAATGTAAGAGAATTGCCCTGGCTGGTCTGGCTCAGTGGTTAGAGTGTTAGCCTGAGGACTGAAAGGCCGTGAGTTCGATTGCGGTCAAGGGCACATACCTGGGTTGCAAGTTTGATCCCTGGGTCGTGAGGGAGGCAACCAATCCATATGTCTCTCTCTCTCTCAAACCTCTGTCCCCCTCCTTCCCTTTCACTCTCTCTAAAAATCAATGGAAAAATATCCTTGAATGAGGTTTAACAATAAATAAATAAATGTACTCAATATATATTAAGTAGCTTAGTTAATTAAAAACAAGCTTAGTCATTCAAAATACTCACTAAAAAGTCTTCTTCATAATGGGAAAGATAACAATAAAGTAATAGAGTTCTTATGTGCCATTTACCTGACAACCACATCCTTCCATCCACACTAGAACTATATCAGGAAAATTAGAGACCCTATAACATTTCAAAGACATATTAAAAATAGAAGAGCAGAACTGAATCTTGTCCAGTGTCCTATTGAGATAAAATAAAATATATGACAAAGAAAAAGCACAGAGAAAAACTTACTTGCAGTATCCCGTGCCATTGTGGTAGGTAACACATATTCCTTCATTTACACAGGGCTCATAGCTGTCTCGACATTGCAATGCTAAAAATAGAAACAAACATACATTAGAAATAAGTCACAAATCATAACCTTCAGACATCAAAGAAATGTTATCCAATCTAGGTCAACATTCATTCCCATATCCAACCTGACCTGGGTTTCCTTTTAGAGTTTTAATCGGTATTTTTTTTTGTTTGTTTGGCTTCTGGGGTCATAGAAGCATGGAAGCTCATTCCAGTGTATCCTCCCACAATAACTGTTTTACAGTCTAGATGATGTTTTTAATTCTCCGTGTCCAGCTATTATATCCCTATCTCCAAGTGATACTAGGGAAATACAAGCTATAATATCCATGACATGCCATGAGCATTTTGGGACTGGGATACTTCAGAAAAATAATGTAAAGATTCATCAAAGCATATTTAGAAAGACCTGGGAAGCTACTAGGTAGCTACCCAGGTCTAGGTACCACAATATTTATTAATTACTTAAGCCTTCAGGTTAGGTTTCAGAAATGGCCACTTGAAGAAGTAATCAAGATACATCAACAATATTCATTCAATAAAATGTAGTGAGAGCCTGGTATATATGCACCAGGCATTATGTTAGGATCCAGAGGAAAAAGGAGAAATGGAATAGAATACATAGAGAAGTAAATAAAACATAATTTCTAACTTTAAGGAGAACAGACCATGAATAAAGATTGTAGAGGAGAGGGAATCACAGTAAAGAAAATGAAAAAGTTCATGTACACATACAGACAAAATAATAATTCTCAAATTCTTGAAACCCAATCCCTTTACAAGACAACAAGAAGGCATTTCACCACCCTAATCCCTCCCAAAAACAGATTACTCAGAAATAAACAGCAAAAGTAGAAAATTTCACTGATTTAAGCCTAAAGAGGAGAAAAGCTACCCAATGTCTGTCCCTCACTAACGATATAATTACAATACCTTGATTGTTTAGCTTTTAGAGTTAGAATTTTCATCACCAAAATGCTTATTATAATTCTAATAACAACTGACAAGGCAAGACAGAAAGAAACCTAGTCAAACAATAAAAGTAAAAATTAAAGTTCATGAACTTTCTTGGGAAGATTACTAAGATTTCCATGTCCTGGGATGGTTCACATAGAAGTACCTGAAAGTAAAACTGGGAAGTCTCCAACCGAGTGTCCTCTAGCCACACCACTCTCTGAATAAAAGGCACAATATCAGAGTCTCAAGGTCTGCCCTTCCTGGGCATCAAAACCAGCTTCTTTTCACAGCAGGGCCCAGGCACAAACTGCATGTTAAAAAAAACACTCCTCTATGCCCAGCCAGTGTGGCTCAGTGGTTGAGTGTCAACCCGTGCACCAAGAGGTTGCCAGTTTGATTCCTGGTCAGGGCACATGGCCAGGTTGTGGACCCAATTCCCGGTGGGGGGCATGCAGGAGGCAGCCAATCGATGTTCTCTCTCATTGATGTTTCCATCTCTCTCTCCTTCTCCCTTCCTCTCTCTCTAAAATCAATAAAGACAAAAACATTAAAAAAGAAACCTCCTCCATTAACAATTACTGTAGAAGATCCCTGTATTTGCCCAGTACTGTTATCAAGTGATGGAATTACTTGAGAATATGTTTACAGAAATTTCATCTCTTAAAATAATACTAAAAAACAGTAATAACAATAACACATATCACTTACTAAATACCAGGTATTGTCCTTTACATAGACTAATTCAATCTTCCCATCAACCCAATTGAGATAGTACAGAAACTTGGCCCTGGAATAGAAAATACCTGGTGGCCAAGAAGCCAAGATGAGACCAGGTAGCTAGAAGGAACGCAAGGGCATTAACTACCCCTCTACTCCCTCCTTAAAAACGCAGGGTAGCAGATTTTCTCGCCCTTCTAAATTCCTGCTTAAACTGCTGGTCCACATGCGCAGCTGATCAAGGTCTGGCCACTACACGCCCTTCCTGGGGTGGCAGCAATGAGCTACACCACCACCTTGGCCTCATAGTGCAGGTGCAGAGGCAGCTGTCAAGCAACCCAACAGGAGGAGAAAGTCACCCTGCCCCAACATGAAAAATGCCACTCCCCAAGCCTTCACGAGCCGCCTTCTGCGCAGGCCCATGTAGTCCGCGTGTACGAAAGCAGCAGGCAGGGCAGCCCCAGCCCGTTCAGAGGCTTCCTTTCCTGCGCTGCCGCCCTGTGCTCGAGCATAAGCTTAACAAACTCTGCCTGGAAAGTTCTCTGGGGTTGCCTCTCAATTTCTATCTTGGAGAACCCAAAAATTCTAATGCCAGTAACACTATGAAGTAGTTAATTTCATTATGCCCATTCCAGAGAAAGGGTAAATAACCTGCCTATGATCACACCAGTGAATTAAAGAGTCAGAATTTGAACCTAGAAACTCTAGGTCTCATGAGAATCTGTGCTCTTAAATACAAGGATACACTGCTTCCCACTATCTGCCACTTTTCTCCTCAGGATGGGCAGGGTAGGCATTATTATACCCATTTACTAGGAAGTGAGGGTCAAAGAAGGTTCCGTGACCTCTTCATAGGGCATCACGCCACTAACTTTGGCAGCGCTGGGCCTGGGACCCAGGTCTCTTACTGACTCCATTCCCCTCTTCAAGACCGCTGTCGGCTGCCCAGCCAGTGTGGCTCAGTGGTTGAGCATCGACCCAGGCACCAAGAGGTCACTGGTTCGATTTCCGGTCAGGACACAGGCCCAGGTTGTGGGCCAGATCCCCAGTGTGGGGAATGCAGGAGGCGGCCAATCGATGTTCTCTCTCATCAATGTTTCTATCTCTCTCCCTTTCCCTTCCTCCCTCTTTAAAATCAATAAAGAAAAAAAAATTTAAAAAAAAAGAAGACTGCTGTCAGGATCACACAGGCAGCACTAGGCTGCAGCCCGAACAGGCAGACTTGGGAAAGGGGTCATCTTGTTGTCTATATCCCACTTCCCTCTTCCCACACTGATAAGCCCAATGCAACAACTATAATTAAAACAGTTAATGTCAGGTTATTTCCTCCATACCAAAGTTCTCAAACTGGTTTTCTGTTGTTGTTTTTTCATTCTCTTTGGACATTTTTATTAGTTTCAATGAGAACTTCCTGACTTTTTACTATTTGCTTTTTTTTCTTTAAATAAAAGAGAAAACCTCTCAGTAGGAAAGAAATGTCCCACAGGCAGAGAGCAAACTGCAGCTTTGTCCTCCCCCTGCAGGAATCCTGGTGTAGCAGAGGGAGTCAGGAGACCTGAAATCCTGCCTGTACCACTCACTAGCTGTGCTACTTACTACAAGCAAAGCACAACCTCCTGAGGGCTCATTCCCCTACCTGTAAACCAATCTAGGGTGAACTGAATGTTTCTGAAGGTCCCATGTGACCCAGTAGTGACACCTCCCTCATTAAAACTACATGAATGGCATGCCTGGTACCTGGAGAAATTTGTCCAGAAAAGCATAAGGACCCAGTGGCCCATGACTCAGAAAGCAATGGATGCAAAAGAAAAAAGAAAAAATCACATTCTGTCCCTATTAAGTGTCCTGGCAAATCAATACAGTAACAGGTTCAGAGAAATACAAACACCACAAAGTAAATATGTGGCAATCAATCTACCAAATAACTTTACAGTCTAGCCTTAGTAAACCAATCAAATTCAGTGACCAAAAAGAAGGTGGGCTCATAAGGCTAATAATTAATGCCATTTGGCTAATCTGTAGAGTCATGCTACCTTGAACCTTTAACATTTACTAAGCCACAGTTCTCAAACTTTAGTGTTCAGCAGAACCACCTGGAGGGTTTGCTGGACCCCACCCCCACAGATTCTGATTCAGTGGGTCTAGAGAGAGCCTGGGAATTTGCATTCCTAACAAGTTCTCAGGTGATGCTAATGCTACTGGTAGAAGGAACACTGAGAACAACTGTGCTAATGCATGAGAGTCCACTTTAAGGACTCCCCTAAAACTATTTAATCCACTGGAGATCTTGGATGATCTAGATGATAACATATTGCCTGAATAAACTGAAGAAAAATAAAGTAAAATTTGAGACTCATGACTTTGCCTGGGGGCTTTCTAAATGAATACTGTAATTACTTGCTATACAAAGAGAAGTTAAAACTTTGATCACTCAAAACCATGACAGTGACTGGGAAAGACCTCCTTTCAAACTGCAACTTACTTTTTTCCCAATGTAAAACATGTCAATTGAACAATAAAATTGAAAACAGCTTTATATTTGTAGAGCAAAAAACAAAATGCTTAATCATACCACTGTTGAAGAACTGATGCTTAAATTGACGTTTTAATAGACTCAGAAACCAGTCATTCACAAAAAGAGTGACTTTTCCCCAAATTTTCATTCTAAGCCACAAATGGCAGTAATCACTCAATAAATACTGGCTGGCTAAAATCAATCTCATAGTGTATGTGCATGTGTGTACGCGCATGTGTGTGTGTGCGTCCCCTCCGCGACAAGAGGCAAAAGCAGGAGGAGCAGATTTCAATTTCACCACTCCATCACAGGGCAATGTGACATAAAATCTAGAAACCAATTTTCAATTTTCACACATTTTCTGGGCAGCATATTAGGGACTAGTCTTCTAATATTCAGAACATACAGAGCATCTACTATTACAACATAAGGTACAGGCCCCGATGTCAGGGATACAATGGCTAACAAAATAAAGTCCCTTATTTCTATTAGGAATAGACAATAAATAAATACATACATATATATATATACATACATACATACATACATAAGCAAAATCATTTCAGAAGGTGGTAAGTGATAGATTCTGTTGGAAACAGAACCCAGTTATGGGATACAAAGTAATCACAGAGTCTGGATGACTAGGAAAAGCCTGTTTGTGGAGGTGTCTTTAAGCTAAGATTTAAATGAACAAGAATCATGAACATATGAGTAACCCCAGGCTGAGGAAACAGCAAGTATACAGCCCTGAGACAGGAATGAGTCTGGTATTCTAGATTTTATGGCTACAAATTATTAAGCAAGGAGGGAAGTAACAGGAGACAGGCCAG